AAATACATGGATTTAAAGAATATCTAAGATGAAGATTCAGCAGGATTAGGAGGTTGATAGATGTGAAGTTGTGTGAGAAAGTCAAGGATACTTCCTAGATTTCTGGCTAGAACTGAGTTGGGCAGGTCGTGCCATTTCCTGAGGTAGGGAACACTGATGCAGCAGGTTTGAGGAAGAAAGATGAGCTGAGCATTGGTGTCTGTTGGGTTTGAGGGGCCCATGAACTATCCATGTGAAGATGTCCAGTGGGCAGGTAAATGAATATACAGGTTTAAGTTTTGGAGAGTTCAGGAGACAAGTAAAGATCTGAAGTGGCTAAATCCATCGTTGGCTTTGGCAATGAATGGGAACGCCTGGGAAGTGTGTAGAGTGAGAAGACGGCTTATGGGGCAAACCCCTGAGCAAGTAGAGAAGAAACTGGCAAACAAGAGTGATCAGCAAAGAGGAAAACCAGGTGTTATATCAGTTAAAGGTAGAGTGGTTTGAAAAGGAGGGTTTAATGATGCTAAGAGGCCTAATGAGATAAAAACTACTAGTATTCTTACTGAGAATTTTTTTGTGGAGCACTAGGGGCAGAATCCAGATTAAAGTGGGTTGAGAAGTGGGAGGAAAGTGAGGAATTGTGGCACTAACTATAGACACTTTAGAGATGGCTGTGAAGAAAAGCAGCAAAAGGCCAATATTTAGAGGGAGCATGGCATCATATTTTTATTTATTTTAAAAGATGATGGAGATTTTACACATTTAAATATTGATGGAAAAATCCAGTAGAGAGAGGCTGATGATGTGTGTGTGAAGAAATTGTTTGCACGACATCCCTGTGCACAGATGGAGGGATTAGCCTTAGCTCTGAGGATCACTATAATAGAAGTGGAGCCTCAAAGATGAGGACAGATAGAGGTAGGTTTGTAGATTTGACATCAGAGAAGTTGAAGGAGTTCACGTCTGATGGTTTTCTATTTTCTCTTTGAAGTAGGAGTGTAAGAGTTAGAGGTGAGGGCTTTACAGTTTTGAAGAATGAAGACCGAGGTAGCAGCTGTGGAGAGCTGGAGTGTGAGCTAGCTAGGGAAGCAAAGCCTAGTGTAGAAAACCTTGTCTGAGCTTGCATTATGAGGGAAGAGTTTTCTTCTAAATATGGCTTGCTTGGTTTTGGTACACGGAGGAAAAGTATCCAGAAAGCAGCTTTCATCTTCTGATGCAAACTGCAGGATCTAAGATTAATTTTCTCCAGAGTAATGACAGCTCTTCCTTGCTACTGACACTAAAGATGAGTACCAAGTGAAGTATCCCAAGAATGGAAAAACAAGAACCACATATACTCACCAGCAAACTGGTATTAACTGAGCAGCACCTAAGTGGACACATAGGTACTACAGTAATAGGGTATTGGGCAGGGGGGCGGGGGGTGGGTATTATGTATTATACATACATGATGAGTGAGATGTGCACCGTCTGGGGGATGGTCATGCTGGAGACTCAGACTTGTGGGGGGAGGGGGGAAAGGGCATTTATTGAAAGCTTAAAATCTGTACCCCCATCATATGCCGAAATAAAAAAAAAAAAAGATGAGTACCACTTCCTATGACACTCTGAAATATTGTTAGTTTTTCCCTACTTAAGAAAATTTAATTTCAGTGCATTTAGCACTTGATTTTTCCATAGTGAAATTTCAGCTTCATTTTGGAACTTAGTGACCAATTTTTCTACATTTATGCAGAGCATCTTTGTTTAGTCCCATTTACTTGATGCAATTCCTTTAAGCCTTCTTTTTAAAATGAGATTCCCCAGGTTGCTGCTCTTGTTCTACTTCCCATCTTTCATATGCATGGAATATGAAAGGTGACACAGGAAGTACAATGTTGGGCTTTTAAAGTGCCTTAGATCAGGGGCTCGATATAAGGAGCTGATCCAAATATGACCTAATATATAAAACAGAGCTAGTTATTGTATAGGTCCTGCTCTCTAGCAGCAGTTAATTGAGATGACAATTTCTCATTATTGGTTTCTGTAACATACCAGATGAATATATGACATTTAGAAGGCAAGGCTAGATTACATTTAAAATATTTAAGCAAGGAGTTCTTGCTACCATTTTCTGAGAGGGAGAAACAAATGGGTATATATAAAATGGGAATAATATCTGTTAAAACATGAGAATTAAATGAGATTTTATATACATACATTTCTCTAGAAAATAATGTACAAGGTACTTTATATATATAATATATAGATGCATATATATAATGTGCAAGGTACTTTTATGTATGTGTGTGTGCACAGAAAGCACCCTGCACAATACAGATATAAAAGTTAGTTGTTGCTATTATTTACCATCCTAAGTTTCTCTTTTGTACATAAACAGTATTTATCAGCCATTTTTCACACAGCTGTTTAGCTGCATGACAATGTAACACCAAGTTTTCAAACTTGCTGTTTGTCTTAAAATGGAACGCAGTAGTAGGACAGAAGGGAAATACGGTTTATTTTAATGTCTATTGTATACTTTATATATGATATGTAATTGTCTTCATTTTGCAGATGAGGCCACTGAATCTCAAATTAGCCTGAAGCTACAAGTTTATAACTGACAGAGCTTAGATTTGATTAAGACATGCTCTAATACCACAGCAAATTTCCAAAAATATTTTCTCTTTTTCTATTTTAAGTGATGGAAGAAAAAAAAACATTCAGTATCAGTAAATAACCATGGAACTGAGAAATTCTACTTTGCCATTTCAATGAAATGTCTATTATTAAAACATATGGTCACTATGGATATAGTAAAAATTATAGAATAGTCAAAATTATTAGGTACGTATCAAAAATATAATCCACTTGTAAATTTTAAATTATTCTAATCTAGTTAGGACCAGTGCTTGTGAAATTCAACACCTACCTACCCAAAGCGTGGAAATATTTGTGGTTTAGACAGTATTAAACAGAAAACCCACTGATACTTATCTTTTTTACCACCATCTACAGCCGGGTTTATGTACAGTGACCTTTTTGAATTCTATATGAGACACAGGTCAGACAAGTGTGATTATACTTACGGGGCAACACAATAGGATATTTGAAAGCAGGATAGTTCAGTTTGCTAATTGCTTAGCCCAATTTTGAATAACCTGCTTTCCTTTTGAATGTTTTGAAGATGAATTTCGCATAATGGATCCTTTTGATTCTAAGAGAGCACAATATCATCAAAAGATCCTTTCCCTATTTCATGTATCATGTAGCATCAATGGTGTATGGTTAAGCAGGTACATAACTTATGGGCTATTATAACATATAAAGAAATACAAGTCAACTCTTAAATTCTCCTGTCATTTATAATGCTAATGTTTATAATTGTCACATTACAATGCTAACAATGCTAAATGACATACTCAAAATGTTTTTTTTTTTTTTTTTTGAGACAGAGTCTCACTCTGTTGCCCAGGCTAGAGTGCCATGGCGTCAGCCTAGCTCACAGCAACCTCAAACTCCTGGGCTCAAGCGATCTTTCCTGCCTCAGCCTCCCGAGTAGCTGGGACCACAGGCATGCGCCACCATGCCCGGCTAACTTTTTCTATATATTTTTAGTTGTACGACTAACTTCTTTCTATTTTTAGTAGAGAGGGGGTCTTGCTCTTGCTCAGGCTGGTCTCGAACTCATGAGCTCAAATGATCCACCCGCCTTGGTCTCCCAGAGTGCTAGGATTCCAGGTGTGAGCCACCACGCCCGGCCTCAAAATGTTATATAAGGAAACTAACCTGTAGCACAGTCCAATCATGCCATATATGCGGAAAAGGAGATCTTTGATTATATGTATACATATATATATATATATATTTTAAAGATTTACTAGTTTAGTTAAAGAAATAATTTATTTCTCGGTTGAATTTGAATCTTAGAATTGGGAAAGATTGCACTCATATGCATTAACTCTCAATGGGAGATACTGACATTTAAACAAACATACTTTGCATTACTAGAGAGATGACAACTTTTCCCCGAGAGGATTTGACTTTCCTAGTCTAGACTAGCTGCCTAAGTCAACAGTCACTGAAATAATACTGCTTTCTTATCTTTACCTACACTTGTGGCTTATTAGCAACCTGTGTCACTCCTCTTTGTGGTCCTTCCCTCTTTATTTCACCTCTACGGCTAATTGCCAGTTCCTAAGCTTTTCCCTGCCCCCATCTTTTGTTAGGTCTCCTTTTTATCCAAAACATAATGACTTGAAATGGAACCTTTTGGTAGCTTTCTCTTTGACTTTTAGTTTCAACTTCTGTTCCCTCAGACCTGCTACATAACCCATACTTATTTATACTTACTGTGTTTTCCCTTCCTGGCTAAAAGGAACTGAGTTACTGCCCTCTGTGGTCAGCGGGTGGTGAGGTTATTTTGGGCCATGAGGGCTGGGGGCAGGGTTATGTTAGGGAGGTAGCTGAAATAAGTTTCATGGCTAAAGCTAATTTTTGGGTTTTAAGTCTCATATGCATTACAATCTAATTCTTATTAGGAACAGAATTAATATATGTACTCAACCTATCATCTAATTGTTCATTATTTGAAACAACTAAAACAGATCAGTGCTTTTGGAGGGAGAGCATTTCTTTTTATTCTTTGTTCCACATTTTAATAATTACACTGTCTGCATTTTGAATTAAGTGAATGGGTTGAGCAAGGTCACTTTTCTTCCTTTATATTTAAAGAATAAACCAACTCTAAGTCTGTAAGTTTCAGATACACTAACAGTCCTGAAATCACCATGACATAAAAAGTTGTTTTCAAACTCTGCCAGATGAAGGATAGGGTAAAAAACCTGTAACTATCAGAAAGCAGAAATATTTATCTGAAATAACAGGTAACTGTGGAAGTTATCAGCTATGAGTTTTAGAACCAAAGAACTTTGGATATAAGGAGAAAGTGTATGCGTGGCTAATAGACAAGGTAAGGAAAAGCTGTTATCAGTTCAGAGTAGCAAGTCGACCCACTCAGTGAACAAACTAAGAGCTCCACCACAGCCATTCATTTTAATGAAATTACTCAAATTTCCCCTTTCTTAGAGTACTATGGGAACCAGATGGAGGAAGATGGGCTAACGTTGTCTCATCAAATATTTGCAAAGATTATGCAGATACCTGGGAAAGCCTTTGCATGGTGAATATCACAAATAAATGAATAATTGATTCTCATAATATTTAGGTCTTGAATAAAGTTAGGCCTTGATCTGCTTCCAGCCAGTTGATCTTTTTAATTATGTAGGCCATGCAACAAGTCTTTGGTTCTATTCTATAGTTTCCTTCTTTGCATTCCTCTAGATTTCATATATTCTTGATTTGTTTTCCAGAGCACTGCTTTTCCTTTAGCATAAGCCAATGTGGATAAGGGAGACCAAAAGGAAACTGATTTCATACCAATAAGAAAAGTCTTACTGGAACCTTGTTTGTAATGAATGTTCACATAAGTTGGTTATAAGGTTTTGGTGTATAATTTCAAGACATTTTCACAGACGATATTGCTCTCAAGGCAGGGTTAAAGTGAAACTGTCCATTAGGATAATGCAGAGGATAATATTTGTTCAGGAAAAAGTAAGAATATTAAGCTTTCCTCTACTAGGCATCTTCCCTCAGGCACTGAGATTGCAGTTATCAACAAATGGGGAAGGGCAGAAAGAGGAGACTTCAAAAGTCACAAATATATTTCAACAGCTAATTTTTAGCAAGTCTGTCAATGAGGTCTTTCCATTCTTCCCTCTTCTTTGTGATGTATGGAGGGGTAAGTAGCTGCAGCAGTGATTCTGTCTGCTGCCTAAAGAAGTTGTGACACAAGGCCTCAGTGTTACATATCACGTACATCCCACAGTCATAGCTGTTTTGTTGAGCAGGGGCTCTCTCTTCCACAAAGACCAGTTTGTCTCCTTCTCTGCCTAAGAAAACCTCCAGTTTCTCTGCTACCTGCTTTGCGTGGACTGAGTTGCTCCTACTATGGGAATCATAATGACAAAAGCTATTTTTATCTTGGAGATAAACCAACAAACTCCAGTGGGTTCCCCCAGCTGCATGGTTGGAGTTATCATTGATGGCTAAAAATATAACTCTCTTGTGGGGGAGGTCCAGAGGCTCAAGGAACATGGCGATCTCTGCTGGGTTGCTAGTGCACTTGATGAACTGGGTGACTTCAGGGCTGATGAAGCAGACATGGTCAGAACAGTCACGAAACTGACTGTTGGCAAAGTACTCAAAGGCAAATCCAATAATATGGTCATTAAGCCAGTTTGGTGGATCCAATAGTGAGACATCTGATTGCCGCAGTAGACTGTCCATGTAACTCAAGACTACAGGGTCCATCTTGTACTGATCAGGGTTGCTGAGAAATTCCAGAAGCTGAAGGAGAGGCAAAAGACAATATTTACTGCTGAATATAATACCTGAATGTAAAATGGGCTATAAAATAACAGCTACTCTCATAGGGTTGTGGGAAAGAATAAATATACAGTCAGTCGATCCTTGAACATGGGTTTGAACTGAACGAATCTACCTATATGCAGATTTTCTTCTGCCTCTGCTAGCCCCGAGACAGAAGACCAACCCCTCCTCTTCCTTAGCCTACTCAACATGAAGAAGACCAGGATGAAGACCTTTACGATGATCCACTTCCACTTAATGAATAGTAAATACATTTTCTCTGCCTTATATAGTAATTTTCTTAATATTATTTTCTTTTCTCTAGCTTGCTTTATTATAAAAATACAGTATCTATTAAACATAACATAAAAAATATGTGTTGACTATTAGTAAGCCTTCTGGTCAGCAGTAGACTATTAGTAAAATTTTTAGGGAGTTAAAAGTTATACACAGATTTTTGACTACATGGGGCATCAGGACGCCTAATCCTTAGGTTGTTCAAGGGTCAACTATAATTGTAGGTAACTTTAGCTTAAGTGCTGTATGTAAACAATTAGTTAGAATACTAACTATGGAAAGTTTTCATGTAGACAGTATGCATGAATTTTTTTTTCTTTTTGGCTTCTGAATTGCAAAGACAGTAAGCATGAATTTTTAATTTTCTTCTTAAATGCAGAGACTGCATATAAATAAAATTATAGCTAATGTTTTACCAAACACTATAGCACTTACCATCTTATTTGGCTCTTTAAGGAATATGCATGATAATGGTAGCAAATTATTTTTATATTAAAGATGAACTCAAAGAATCTAAAAAAAAAAGTGCAGGGCACAGTGGCTTGTGTCTGTAATCCCAGCTACTCAGAAGGCTGAGGTGGGAGGACTGCTTGAGGCCAGGAGTTCGAGACCAGCCTTGGTGAGAGAGCAAGACTGTCTCAAAAAAAAAAGTTACTAATTACCAAGTGAAATAGTTTCCATTTCAACATTAATTTTCAAGAGATAAGATAAAATATTGCTTCCGTCTGGGGGCGGTGGCTCACGCCTGTAATCCTAGCACTCCGGCCGAGGTGGGAGGATTGCTTGAGGTCAGGAGTTCGAGACTAGCCTGAGCAAGAGCAAGACCCTGTCTCTAGTAAAATAGAAAAAATTAGTTGGGTATGGTGGTATGTACCTATAGTCCCAGCTACTGAAGAGGCTGAGGCAGGAGGATTGATTGAGCCCAGGAGTTTGAGGTTGCTGTGAACTAGGCTGACGCCACAGCACTCTAGCCTGGGAAACAGAGTGAGACTCTGTCCCAAAAAAAGAAACAAAAAAATATTGCTTCCTCTTCCATAATGGAAAGTGATAGTGATAAGGGTTGTCGTTAAAAGGAACTAGAATTTTTTTATATGTATGTATGTGTGTGTGTACACACACACACACACACACACACACACACACACACATATACACATTTTGAGATGGAGTCTTACTCTTGTTGCCCAGGCTAGAGTGCTGTGGCATCAGCCTAGCTCACAGCAACCTCAAACTCTTGGGCTCAAGCAATCCTCCTAACTCAGCTTCCCGAATAGCTGGGATTACAGGCATACACCATCATGCCCGGCTAATTTTTTCTATATATATTTTTTGTTGTCCAGCTAATTTCTTTGTATTTTTTTAGTAGAGACGGGGGTCTTGCTCTTGCTTAGGCTGGTTTCGAACTCCCAAGCTCAAATGACCCACCCGTCTCAGCCTTTCAGAGTGCTAGGATTACAGGCGTGAGCCACCAGCGCCCATCCAGGAACTATAATTTCAACAATAGAAAATCATGACAGTAATCAAATGAAATTCATTTCTGAGACTGTTCAGCTATGAGCATGAGTGATATAATTTACCTTTGCCCATTTCCCCATCCATAACCTTAAGAGATACCATAAAGATGATATAGTGTTTATAATGAAAGTTAGAACTTCTTTGGACCTTTTATTTTTTTAAATTTTTTTTTTTTTTTTTTTTTTGAGACAGATCTCGCTTTCTCCCAGGCTAGAGTGACTGCCGTGGCGTCAGCCCGCTCACAGCAACCTCAGACTCCTGGGCTCAAGCAATCCTCTCCTGCTGCTCAGCCTCCGCAGTAGCTGGGACTACAGGCCACGAGCCACCGATGCCGGGTGATTTATATATATTTAGTTGGCCAATTAATTTCTTTCTATTTTTATGGTAGAGACGGGTCTCGCTCAGGCTGGTTTGAACTCCTGACCTTGAGCAACCGCCCGCCTCCGGTCCCAGAGGCTAGATACAGGCGTGAGCCACCTCGCCGGCCTATTTTTTATTTTTTTTTAATTTTATTTTTTTGAGACAGAGTCTCGCTTTGTTGCCCAGATAGGTGAGTGCCTGGTGCAGCCTAGCCCACAGCAACCTCCTCTCCTGGGCTCCAATGATCTCTACGCTCAGCCTCCGGAGTAGCTGGGACTATAGGCATGTGCCACCATGCCAGGCTAATTTTCTGTATATATATTTTTAGATGGTCAATTAATTTCTTTCTATTGTTAGTAGAGACGGGGTCTCGCTCAGGCTGGTTTCAAACTCCTGACCTTGAACAATCTGCCCACCTTGGCCTCCCAGAGTGCTAGGATTACAGGCGTGAGCCACCACGCCCGGCCTACCTTTTAAAAGGTAGTGTGGCATATGCAATCAAAGGAGACCTCTGTCTAGCCCTAGTTTTATCGCTGATTTGCTAGTATCATCTTGCCATGTAAATGATTTTGTCCTTGTTTTTGTTATCTGTAAAAAGGGCATATATCTGCCTTACCTACCTCAGAGACTTGTAGAGAAAGTCTAAATAATTTTACTTGAAGGTATTATAATAGTTTCAAAAAATATGTTTTTAATTTGATGATATTAGCAAGATAATAAGAAAATCCAGATAGAGCTCCAAACCAATCCAAGCAAATGAGGTTTAGAAACCAATATCCATTCACATTATCTCTTCCAAAAACAGAATGACTAACTTAGGGCAGAAGCAAGACAAGTTGTATAATGAGATTAATATGCTTGTGATCACTCAAAATCAGGTGCTAAAAAAGACAAGAAGTCTGATGGGTGCAGAAGATGACACCAAATATAAGCCTAACAGACTCAACAGAGTTATAGAGAGCTAACTGTTATGCACTGACCTGGTACCACAACAGTATTTCTAAAAATCACATAGCAATAAACTGTCACATGCATATTGAAAGTACAAAACAAAACATATTGTAAGAAAACAGTATTACTGTTGTGAAGGACAAGGCTAGAATTATAACATCAAGTTAATTATGGCCATTAGGCAATTATTTTACCACTTGATTATACCATTAAAACAACAAAATTTTGTGATATAACCATTTTCATGTAATCAAAACTTTTCAAAAACCTATATAAAAATAAATCTATCCCTTAAGAAAAAAAGCTAAAGTAAATGAAGTAACTATGAAGCATCCAAGATGGTTTTATGTAAATACAATATATCATAATCTGAACTATTTCAGACATAATATAAGGCTGTTTATGAGAAAAAATATATATATAATAAGATGGCATGAATTAAGATTTTCTTAAGAAAAGAGGAATAAATAGAGCAGAGACATAAACTGGAGCCAGGAATGAAGTTAATGAGGCATACAGCACATTTGTTATGGGTGGGCCACATATTTGGCTGTAAGCTTTTTTGGCAGCTAATCAGAGAGAGTTAAGTTAAACATTCACAATGTTCATAAGGTAAAAGCAAAGCAACTGCTCAGGAGAGGTAAAAGAAGTTTTTGTATGAAAGTCAGTTTTTTCTCAAGAAATTTTAATAAAAGAAGACACAGTGTATCAACAAATAGTTTCACAATATCCTTATGATAGATGCAATAGTTTGATAGGATTATTTTCTATAATGATCCTTAATATCTAGCCTGATGGCAAATGGGAAAATAGCAATCTGGTAAAAGCAAGTTGGTGAAAACTAAGTAATCATCTTGTTGATCTGACTTCATCTAAGAGTATATTAATATAAAGGGGAATAATTGCATGAGTGTCAATCAAGGCTCCCTGGATACAGCATCTCCCCCTCATGCCTTCAATATATGTTGCAAAATGATGAGTGTCAGATTGCACAGTTTGTCAAATAACTGGAGACCTGCTCTCTATGCTGCCTGCTGAAATCATACCCATACCTTAACAGCCAACTCAGCTAGGAATAGGGCAGAAGGGTGCCTAAATAGACAGTCATCTCTACCTTGGAGGGAGTGTCCACAGGCAGGGCTAAGATTTTCTTCATTAATAGCTTTTATGTTTTATCTATTTGATTTTTAACATATCTAGCACACAGATAAAGCGTTAATCAAAGCCCTAATTGTATTCTGCAACCGTTTAACTCTAAAAATTCTAATGCAAATAGAACTAAACTAGCTTTTGGTCAAACCACCCTTGGCTAAGAAAAAGAACTCTAAACTTCATATTTGAAGACTTGAATTTTAGACTCAGTTCTGTTACTCATAATACTCATAATTTCTTTAAGTCTCACTTCCTCTTATGTAAAGTGATAATATTAATACATGACCTTTATATAAGGTATATCAATATAAAACAAACACGTACTAAGATTTTTAAAAATACAACATAAAGTATTTCTAGATATCTGTTATGCCATAAGGAAATTTATATCCCAATAACTGATACCTGTAATGTGTTTTACTTAATAAATGTTTGAGTGTTTCTTGTGTACTAGGGGCTAGAAATACAGAATGAGAATGAAATAGTCACAGTTCCTACCCTTTCTTAGCTTAAGCCTATTCTGTTACAGTGAACATATACTGTATATACAATTCGTTTAGTTAATGAACACCTACTGAGGACCTAATGTTAGGTGCTGTGAGAGCTACAAAGATGTATAAGGTGGCTTACAGTCAATGAGGTAAGAAACCTATTCAGAAAAGGCAATAATCATTCCCAGCTAGGAGGGTGAAAAGGAAGCAGCA